AGTCCGTCCCTCCTCCATGCTCTGCGTCCCACAACCCAGTCCGTCCCTCCTCCATGCTCTGCGTCCTACAACCCAGTCCGTCCCTCCTCCATGCTCTGCGTCCCAGCAGTGTGTAATTAAAGCTCCTGTGGGAGCGCTTGCTCTCCCCTCTGTGGAGAACCATGGGACTGGGGCGTTCACGTCATCAGCAGCTGGAACAAGACTGAACACGAGCCACAGGACTCGGATTATTACAGGCTGGAAAAGAAAAGAATCAATGACCCCCCCCCATTGCTTTTAAAGGAATAGTTTGTCCATTTTAAGTGTTTGTGTAAAAGTTAAATGTCACCTGCTGCAACTGACAGTTTCAGTTTGGAAAAACTGGTTGGACTTGTCAAGACTGGTGATCTAATGGCTAATTCAAATACAGTTAAAACCACCAGAATGTTGAAGTGGTTCCTGCAAGCCTTCTTTACAAACTACCGTCAGGTTTTTATGAGCCATTTATTACGTAGAATTATTTACAAACATGGTAAGTTCTTACGTAACACTCTTCTATCTAGTCGAGATACTCAAAGCTCTTTACAACAATCTGCCTCATTTACCTCCACACACACATTCATACAGCTCTATACTAGATCATCTCAAAGATAATCTGAATCTGTAGAGACTAATCAGAGCTTTATAACATTCATACACTGATGGGACACACATCAGAGGCAGTGAGGGTTCAGTGTCTTGCCCAGGGACACTTCACTATGTGGCTGCTGGTGGAATCGAACCCCCAACTCTTGCATTGAGGACGACTGCTCCTAACCGCTCAGCCACAGCCGCCCCGTAACCTCAACAGAAGCAGCAACAAGTCACCTTTTCTGGGGCACCCAGGAGTCTCATCCAGCAGAAATGTATTGCTGAAGCAATACGTAATACAAAACTCCTGTCTGGAATGTTTGCAGGTCCGTATTGAAAAACTTTAAATGCCTCATAAACCCAAAGCAGGTTCAGACACAATTTCCTGAAGGATGAATGTGAATGAGTTTTCTCCGCAGGGTGTCTGGGCTCTCCCTTAGAGACAGGGTGAGAAGCTCGATCATCCGGGAGGGACTTAGAGTAGAGCCGCTGCTTCTCCACATTGAGAGGAGCCAGTTGAGGTGGCTCGGGCATCTGGTTAGGATGCCTCCTGGACGCCTCCCTGGTGAGGTGTTCCAGACACGTCCCACTGGGAGGAGACCCAGAGGAAGACCCAGGACACGCTGGAGGGACTATGTTTCTCGGCTGGCCTGGGAACGCCTCGGGATTCCCCCGGAGGAGCTGGACCAAGTGGCTGGGGAGAGGGAAGTCTGGGCCTCCCAACTTAGGCTGCTACCCCCGCGACCCGACCCCGGATAAGCGGAAGAAGATGGATGGATGGATGTGAAAATGAAAAGAGTGGCATATTTAAAATGTTTTGCATGATTTATTTTTTAAAGTCACCCCAGTATCTGTGATTAGGGGTGTCCTGATAGCCTGATACTTGCACTCATTAACACACATCCCAATAATTCCAACACGCAACATTTGTGCTTGTTGACACCATTTCCTCTTCCACTTTGCAAGTACCCAAGGATTAAAAATATCTTCAGAAGTATTTTAAGATGTGATCATGTGATGTGTACAGGTGATGTTAAGACAGCAGACAGTGTGTTGTGTCCAACAATGTTCTGTCAGGTCACCTGGACAGTCCAGGTGACCTGACAGAACATTGTTGGATTTTGTACCTGGATTATTGACCATGACCTTTGGAGTTTGTTGTGTTCTGAATAAAAGAAATGTCGTGTAATGTTTAAGTACTAAGTCATTAACTACCCTGTATCGTACTTTCTCCATTTTCAAATCCTTCTACTTCTAATCCAAATCTTCTACTGCTCATCTGTAGTCGGGTCACGTAGGCAACATGACCAGGAGAAAAACGGACATCCCTCTCCCCAGTAATACTTTCCAACAGGTCTTGGGGGACCCCGAGGTGTTCCCAGACCAGAGAAGATACACAATCCCTCCAGCGACTTCTGGGTCCTCCCAGGGCCTCCTACCAGTGGGACGTGCCGAGAAAACCTCCAAAGAGGCATTCAGGAGGCATGTTGGTCACAAGCCCAGTCCACCTCAACTGCCTTCTTTTGGTGCGGAGGAGCAGCGGCTCTAGTCCAAGCTCCCCCCAGATGACGGAGCTCCTCACCCCAACTGTAAGGCCACACCCGGCCACCCAAAGGAAGCTCATTTTGGCTGCTTGTATCCAGGATCGCGTTTTTTCTGTAATGATCCAAAATATAACTCCGTACGCAAGTACGCAAACTGAAGTACTTGTACTTAGTTTGGAAAAAAAAAAAAAAAACTAGTATCAGGATACCCCTATTGGAGAAAATAAAGTTCAATTGAATAAATTTTGTAATGTTTAATCAATGTAAGGGTCCAACTGAGTCCTAAGATTTTATCAGTCTGAAATCTAATGAATGCGATCTGGACCTTTTTAAATTTGCACATTGTTGATGTCACAAACAATTAGCTCCTAACTGTCAAAAACTTTCATCAAATGTTTAAACTTCTCTTATTTTATACCTGTAACATGTTTTCTTATTTCAGAGTCAGATTTATTTGTCATACACGCCACACGTGGTACATGAGGTGGAACGAAACTATGTACATATGGTCCCAGTTACATCCAACAAAAAACAAATTGTAAAGAAAAAGAGTAAGATCCAAGTCATGAACTAAGAATATACTACATTCACTAAACTAATACACTAAGCACTAGTACAAAAACAATGTGCCAAAACAACAGCAGCACGAACATGAGTCCGTGTGAGCAATGAGGATGAATGAACACAGCAACATGAAGCAATCAGCAGCATGAGATCAGCAGCATGGATAGTCTGCAGCACATATCAAAAATCAAGTGGCATTACAGTGATTATTCTAGTTAGAGATTCATGAGTTTAACAGCCTCAGGGTAGAAGCTGTTCCTCAGTCTAGTGGTTCTACACTTAATGCTCCTTAACCTCCTTCCTGAGGGGAACGGGGCAAAAAGTGTGTGTGCTGGGTGAGTGGGGTCCTTCATGATGCAGGTGGTCCTCTTCCTGCATCTGGAGGTGTAGATGTCTGTGATGGTGGGGAGACTGACTCCAACATCTTCTGTGCAGCCTTCACCACTCTCTGCAAAGCTTTTCTTTCTGCAGCTGTGCAGCCTCCATGCCACACGTTGATGCTGGAGCACAGGATGCTCTCCACTGCACACCTGTAGAAGGAGGTGAGGACTGAGCTTCCAGACCAGCTCGTCTCAGCCGCCTGAGGAAGAAGAGTCTCTGATGAGCTTTCTTCATCAGGCTGGTGGTGTTGTTGCTCCAGCTGAGGTTGTCATTAAGGTGCACACCCAAGTACTTGTAGCTGGAGACCACTTCCACCACAGATCCTCTTATGTTCAGGGGGTGTAGATGTTTTTGTTCCTTCTGAAGTCCACAATCATCTCCTTTGTCTTCTTCACTTTGATGTGAAGGATGTTCTTCCTACACCAGCTCTCCAGGTGGTCCACCTCATTTTAGTTGATTTTATCATTGATTTTAGTAGATTTTTGATTTTAGTTACATTTTGTAGCACTTAGAGATTTTTGTTAATGAAAAGTACGTTACAAATTAAATTTATTATTATTATACCTCCTGCCTGTAGCTGGACTCATTGTTTTTGATGCATCCAACCACCGCTGTATCATCTGCAAACTTTACAATATGACGGCCTGGATGGGTCGGTACGCAACCATACATTAGCAGAGTGAACAGGAGGGGGCTCAACACACAGCCCTGGGGGGAGCCAGTGCTGAGAGTTATAGTAGAGGAGGAGAAGTTGTGGATCTTCACAGATTGTGGTCTGTTGGTTAAGAAGTCTAGGACCAAGTTACATGGAGAGGAACTTAGTCCTAGTGTGATTAGTTTGTCCATCAGGGCCCAGGGAACCACGGTGTCCAAGGCAGATGTGAAGTCCACAAAGAGCACACGGACTTAGGAGTCCTTCTGCTCCAAGCTGGCGAGAGCAGCCGGACCACATGAAATGGCGTCCTCTGTCGATCGGTTCTCATGGTATGCAAACTGGAGAGGGTCGATGTTGATGTTAGCTTTGATGTGGGTCATGACCAGTTTTTAAAAGCATTTAATTTAATTTATTTAATGTTACTGCACAGCGATTCGGTAAAAAAAAAAAAAATGAAACGGGTTAAAAACAAAAACACAAAGAAATTATTTTTGCTGACATGAAAACAGCATGAAAAAATGTGACATGAAAATCAATATATTAAATAAAACTGCCTAGTTGTTTTTTTCTGCCACTACAGGGGCGGCTGTGGCTCAGTGGTTAGAGCAGTCGTCCTCCAATGCAAGAGTTGGGGGTTCAATTCCACCAGTAGGCACACGTTGAAGTGTCCCTGGGCAAGACACTGAACCCCTCACTGCCTCCAATGTGCGTCCCATCAGTGTATGAATGTGATCAATCACTATTCTTTGTACAGATCTAGTATAGAGCTGTATGAATGTGTAGATGAGG